CCCCCCCCCCCGGACCCCCGAAATTTTTTACGTAATGGGTAGAGAATGGGAGCTTGAGGGGGTCAAGGGGGGGGGGATACCAACTCTCTTTAACTAGAAAAAACCTTCTCGTGCCAAAAAGCACTCTTATTATCAAAAAATCACAGCTTATTGTTCTCACTTAAAAAGACAGCTAGTTGCTTCATATCAACACCATATCTATAAAACAAAGCCAACAATTCCCTTAAATCTGCTTCCGTAACTTTGCCTTTATCAACATAAAGGTAAAGCTTGCTACCAATGCCCTTTACATTCGACAAGCAAGATATCTTTTTCAACCACAAATAAAAATTCTCGTCATCAAAAACGGAAAAAAACTTAACACTTTCGCAAACTAAACTTATTTCTTTCATTAGTGCTCTCTTATCTTACCATCCGGAAACACATCCACATGCTCCCCGGTTCGTGGATTTTCCACATCCCAATGAGGACCGCCGTGAGCGTTAGGATTACTTGGATTTTCACCCGTAGGAACTCAAACATTTCCTTTCTTGTCGGGATAACCATAACCTGGCCCGTTAGGGTTTTTTACTAACTTACCATCCCAATTTTTAGGTGGTTCAAAACCAACTTTAGATGTTGGCTGGCCTGGACTTTTAAAGAAATAATAATTATCTAAATGACGTTCTTTTAATTCTAGTCAAGTTTGCCTATTTTTCACCTTATCCAAATACTCACGAGAAAGTTCACTTCGAGCTCACCTATCAAAATCAAGATGCTCTTTTAATTCAGGAAGCCCAAAACAGGTGGTTCTATCAAATCCCAAAGCAAGCAACCTTTGAGATTCCTCATTTGTAACTACATCAGTTAGCAACCAATCGCTAATAGTCTTTCTTTCGAAGCAAGTAGTAACAACAGAACTAGCTGCTTGAGAAGCAGTTGAGCAACCAGCGGGAACAGTAGTGGCAGGGACGGAAGAAGATGAACCAGCAGAATTTACGAGATTATTAGCAGGCTGATCACCAATAACATTCCCAGCAACTACCAAGCCAGCAGCGGCAACTGCTCCAACAACCACCTGACCCGGAACTGTTATAGTTGTCGTAGCAACCATAATTCCACCGCCAAGCGTCTGAACCAAAACCGGCACTTGCACTACAAAACCAAACAACCCGAAAAATGTCATAACTCAATTTTTATATTTTTATCCTAAACAGCCAGAAGACTCCCACTTCCATAAGTGGGGGATGAATGGCCAACGCAACTTCTTAACTAA